TTAAATAATCCACCACCATGTAATTGTACAAGGAAAAATTGACAAAAAATCCCAACTTTGCCTCATTCTCCCAAAATAAGCTCAACTTTTGATTATTTTTTAATAATCCCAACTTTATACCCCGTCAATTTTAAATAGTCTCTAGTGACTTGAAACTAACTAAACCGGTTAACATTTGTGACTTGGGATTATTTGCACACGTGTCACCACGTTATTGGTAAAAAAAACAAAAGGAAATATTGAAACAAAAAACCGGCAGCCCAACCAGTTAGCCACCCTTTCCGCCAGCCACAGCCACCCCTCCCCCACCAGGTAACCCCAACCCCGCCGAAGCCCACCATCCCGGAAACCCTACCCACGATAACCATAGCCACCTGCCCGCTCGTCGATCCAACCAGCCCCCACGACTCCATGAGGCCACGATCTACACAACCAAATATCTCCACGAGATCGAATTGAATCGAGGAGTAGAAGGGAATGGGTGGTCGAATATGAGGAGGAGAAGGGAGGGGATGGCTGAAATCAGGGAGGGAAAGGGAGGAGATGACCGAAATCAGGGAGGGAAAGGGAGGGGTGGTCGGAATCGGGGAAGGGGAGGGAGGAGGTGGCTGGAATCGAGCAAGGGAATGATAGGGGTGCCGGATTCACGGAGGGAATGATGATAGGGGTGGCAGGAGCTGCTGGTCGCCGGAAAAGCAGAGGTTGTCGATGTCGCCTGACAAAGATGACAGGGGCTGCCGCCTGTTAAGGCTGGGCTTGGGTTTTGTTTTTTTTGTTTGATTTAGACCAATCCTAAAATGACACGTATCTGATAGCTTGTTATAACAAGTTGGATAACCGGTTGGAACCATTGGAATCAAATTCATATCAAAGTTAAGATTATAAAAAAAATAAAATAAAAAATTGGGATTATTTTTGACGAATCAGGGGATTATTCATATAAATTTTTCCATTGTATAAAATAATTTAAACTATACAAAATTGTGGTTTCAAAATATTATCATTATGAAAAGTACAATATTAGTATAATATATTACCCAAAACTATTAAATAATAGTCATTCTTATAACCAGCAAAAGTCAATTATTTTTTAATTTTTTTTTTTTACAAACAAAATCATATTAGTATAATAAAATAATGCATGCATAGATCAATTAAAATTGTTTTGGATACTTTAATATAGACTAAAGTTATGAATACATTTAATTGGATATTAAGTAGAATATATGTATACACCAAAAAAATCATACACGAATTTTCTTTGAATTTGTAATTGTCGTACAAAACATAATATAAAAGTATTAATCCCTCCATTTCAAAATGATGTTCCTATTTGCGTAAATCGATGCAAGTTTTTACTTATCTTTGCCCGCAATTATCTTTAACTAATCTCACATTGGTAAAAATTATAAAAATTAGATATTAATAATGTATTCACCAAGAAGAATCAAACTAGATCTCACATGACTATATTTGTTCTTATAGATTGAGAGAAATTTAAATATTCTCTCTTATTTTTAAAAGTCAAAGATTCCAAACAGAAACATCATTGTAGAATGGAGGGAGTACTATCTTATTGTACAAATATAAGAAGATATTTTTCCTTAACCCAAATAAAGATACCAAGAATTTTACGGAGTATAAGATATTATCATATGAGAATATTGAAGGACCTATTTTCGTAATCGAATAATTGTTATCTTCATCACGAAACCAAAACTCCCTCCCCTGAACCACCGTCGAACCTTCTCCCCTAAATCACCATCGAACCCTCTCCCCTGAATCCCCTCCCTCACGAAACCAGAACCCCCTCCCCTAAACCACCCTCGAACCCCCTCCCTCCCTCAAGAAACCAGGCGAACTCCCTCCCTCACGAAACAACGATTTCTGCCTCCTGTCACCCTCCCTTGCCTTGATTTAGCTGCCTAGACCACCTCTCTCCTTCCTCCGTCACGCGAGCTCCAATATGATGGTTGCTGCAATTCGGTGATCGAGTATTGCGGTGGTTGGGGGCATATGGTTGGTGGTCCCTGGTGGAGGGGTGGCTAGCTCCTCCCTTTTTTTTTTCTTTTTTTAATTCATTTTTTTTAATTTAAAATTTTAGACAAATTGTAGGGTGACACGTGTACTTCAAACCCTAAAAAAAATTACCTTTTTAACAGGTAACCAGTCACTTCGGACCACTGGGAGCGGAGGGATTAGGGGTAAAGGTGGGATTATTTAAAAATAATCCAAATGTGGGATTATTTTTAGCGGACGCCTCAAAGCTAAGATTATTCCAGAAAATTTTTCCTTTTTTAAATAAGGGAGTGTTGCAATTATTATCAAATGGATGTAAAAAGGAAAGTGTTGAGATTAATACAAAAATGAGTTAGTATGTTTTAAAATACAATCTCTTTTTTTTTCTTCTTAAATTGCATATTTTGGTTGGAACAAAGATTAAGGCAATTAAGTTGTTGGATTTGTCAAAATATTATATAGTTGGGGTTTGTTGAGGATTTTAAAATTGAAATTTATATGGTAGAGTTGGTACAACTAAGCCCACATATGAAGGCTACATATCTATATTTTACATAATTATTTAAATTATTATTCATACCATACAAATACCTCCTCTCTCCTCCTTCCTCTCCCCAAAACCATAGCCTCCATAGTTGAATTTTGAAGGGGGCTTCCATTGATTTTAACCAGTGGAAAGCCCTAATCCTTGTTTCTTCAAAGTTTGTTTAGGTTTATAGTAATGCTTACTCCTTTTGGGGGAGAAACTTTTCTCCCTCGAAAGAAAGGGTTTTCGGTCTCCTTCGAAAGACAAGGGTTTTTCGACCTTCTTCGAAAGACAAAAGTTTTTCAACCTCCTTCGAAATACAAGGTTTATCTCCTGTTTTTGGGTGACAAATTTCCACTTTCCAACAAAGCTGTATTTTCCAGCAATATAAGCGGGAGATGTTCCACAGTGCAAGATCTACTCGACAATCGTAGTTTTTATGAAGGAAAATTTTATTTGATTCAATATCTTATGTATTTGTTAACGTCGGATCTCTATTATAGATGTCGCATAACTTATAATTAATGAAATATTTTTGCTATTAAAAAAAAAAAGTTTTTCTACATAGTAACCCTCTTAATTTCAATTTTTCTACGTTGTGCCCCAACATATACTACCTCCGGTACACATTATATGCAACTTTTTCCAAACACGGAAATTTCATTAGATGAAACTTTCTCATTCTTTCCTTTTTTAGTAAATTTTTTAAATGAAATTCCTCAAATACCCTTACTCAAAATATCATAAACACAATTTAACAACTAAATCAGAATTCATTAGATAATAATTTAACTTAATTAAACAGAATTCTTTTCATCAAATTCAATTCACCCCAAATAAAATCCATTCAACTTTCACCGTCCATTCATCTTTCACAACTCCTCCGACCACCACCTTCAACGTCACCGATCACCACCACCTTCAAAGTCACGCGCGCTATCATTCTCTATCGCGTAGATCCTTTTTCTCTCTCTTCTTCTATTAATTAAAGCTTCAATCAAATCTTCAGATCTCATGAACTAGGGGTGGTTGGGCTTGTATTGGGTGGTTTAAGAGGTTTTTAGGGTAGGTTTGAGTAGATCGAGGTTAGTGGTGGAACGTTTTGACTGGTTTTGGGGGTTTTTGAGGTTGGTTCGACGGGACTTGGTTGGGTTTGTGGTGGTGTGGGTTCAGGGTGGTTAGGGTGAGTAAGGGTGGGTTCAAGGTGGATCGGGGTGGTAATTGATGATTTTTGGTGTTTTGGGGTGAGTAAAGGGGTGATTTCGGGTTGGTTAAGGGGCGGATATGGGTGAGCATGGTGGTTTTGTAGTTGTTTTGGGTGAGCAGGGTTGTTTTGCAGTTGTTCTAGGTGAATGGTGGTGGATTTTGGGGTGGTTCTGGATGAGTACGGTGCTTTTGCGGTGGTTCTGGGTGGTTTTTTTGGTGGTTCTGGGCGAATACGGTGGTTTGCAGTGGTTCTGGGTGAGTGGTGGTAGTTTTGCGGTGGTTATGGGTGAGTACTATGGTTTTGCAGTGGTTCTGGGGTGAGTGGAGGTGGTGCCGATGAGGCTGCTGTTTGACTATTGTTGTAGCCTAGTGGGGTGACTGCTGGTTGTGGTGGTGATGGTGGTTAATCATCTCCACTCTCTCTCCTACCCTTAAATACATACTCTTTAATTCATTATTTAACTATTGTGAAATTTTATCTTGGGTTCCGTGAGAGCTCCTAAATTGCATATAATTAATATGTACCGTAGGGAGGAATTTTAAAGGGAGGAATGTTAGGAATTTCTAAATGCATAATTAGGGGCATTGCGGTAATTTTACGTTATTTTGTTTAGTAACAGCTGGGCTCCCGTTATGAAATCGTCTGACACCGTTATGCTTTTTGGTTGTATAATTTTCGTATTTCATTTCGTATCTACGATGTTACTTGTATGAAATACCTACTATAAGCTTTCTTTTTCTTATTTCGAATTCAATTCTTCCCTCTCTCTCACTCTCTCTCCTCTGGAGCTCGAAATTCTTCTTCTTTCTCTGTTCGTTCCACCGGACGTATTCTCTCCACTTTGTACTTAAGTTATACACGACGTTGTGGTGGTACTTGAAGTACGGTTCCTGTTAGACCAGCTCAACACTGCGAACGAGTAAGTCCTTCTTCCCTTCCACTTCGATGTTGTAATTAGCAATTGTTATGAAAAAAAACGTAATTGTTAGAACCCTTAGTCGAGTTATTGTTTTGCGACGCTAAAGATTAAAGCATATGTTGTAGCTTAATTGAATCGATTTAGGGTTTGATCGTTATTTGATTTGATTTGGTATGATATTGGGTAATGTTAAAGTTAGGTTTTGCGATTATTAATTTAGTCGTTTGCAATTGATTGTAGTTTCCTATTCAGTTTAATGTAGTTTGTGTTCCTCCTGTAATTGACCCCCTTTCCCTTTACACGGTGTATTTTGGGTTTATGATTAGCTTCATTAAGCATTGCAATTTAGGGTTTCAATTGACTGTAGTATGTGTCGTTCACCAATTTGCACTGGACAATCAGTTCTAGTAATAAATTTTGTGCTTCCGGTGGATTTTGGTTCAGGTTGTTATATAATGGACTACACTGGTTATAGTTAGTTTGCATAGATTGCAGTGGTTGGATTTAATTTTAGTGTGTGTGATTTTGTTTTTTTTTTTTTTTTTTTGTGCTGGTTTTGGAGGATGTGGAATACTTATTTGCACTTTTTTTGAAAATGTAGGTGAATTAAATTATGAAGAAAAAGTCTGTGGTTCGGAATTTAGGTTGGCAAAAGGGGGTAAGTCATTTATACTGTTTTGTGTTTTGGGTAATCTATTCTAAAAACTGTTGATATTGAATTGTTGGTTTGGAATTGGGTATAGGTCAGTTTGAAGTCTTGTAAAGGATCTGTAAAGGGGCAAGGGTCATCTAAATTATCTAAGGGGAAAGGGGCTGCTAAAATACCTAATGGTCAAGACCCTTCTAAAGTAGTTGTCCCTAGCAGCAAAACAAATGCTAAGAAAAGGAATTCCAAGCATTCTGAAAGTGATGAGGATGAAAAGGATGTGGATTATCAAGCGTCAAGTAATTCCCAATGACTGTGCTGAGGATGATGGTGATGAATAACAGTCAAGCTCTGAAGTGTTGAAGGGATTGTTGGTTCATTTCTTACAGAGAGACAGTAAGAAGAGGAAGTCAAAACATATTGATACAAGTTCAATGAAAATCCGTAAGGTATTATTCTGTTTGGTTCTTTATTTTTGTGTGTTGTTGATTTGTAGTTGAAAATGCTGTGCTTTCCTTTTTTTCACTTAATTGATAATGGACTGGTATTGTTGTTGTTAGGAGGAATGGAGAAGTCAAGGGCATAGGAGAAGTGAAGGACATAGAGTGTGTGCTAGGGGTGAGGTGATTAGGACACATTTCGAGAATGTCGGGAAGGTATGTATTTATATTCATTGTGTAATGTTACAATGATGGATAATTGTTTAGGTATTTAGGGCTGTACATTTGATGTGGCTTTTTAATTGTGTTATGTGTTGTTTTTGTAACCTGCAGCAACCAAATATTGTCTGTAGAGTGGAGTCATTTTGTGTTGCAGTGCAGAAGTTTGATGATGACCGACGACAATTAGTTAGAAGGATGGGGTTTGAAGGGTTGTTGTGTCTGGATATGAAGAACATTCCGCGGCAATTTTGCTATTGGTTGATGACTAGGGTAGGAGCTCATGGAACAGTTGTTTTTGGTGATGGAGTCATGTTGCCTCTTGGTGCAAAACAAGTTAGGTATATACTTGGTATACCTATGGGAGCCAATCTAGTGCCCACACATGTTGATATGGAGTGTGAGGAGGAGTTCCAGAATGTTAATAGGATCATTGACTTGTATGGTGTTGGGTCTAAGAAGGAAACAATATCACTAGCTGCGGCTTCAAGGGTAATGTGTCCACTTGATGATTCTGGTGAAATATTTCCGTTGGGTGATGATGAGCAGGACCAAGAGGATTTCATGACTGCTTTTATGGTAGTTGTGCTTGGAAAACTGATATGCACAACTACAAATAGCTCGAACATGGCTAGGGCACTAGTCCCTGTTGTGACAGTTGCCTCTAGAGCAATTGATTTTGACTGGTGTTCTTTTACCTTAGCATGGTTGTGTGATACCGCTGCTCGCTTTTAGAAGAAGTTTTTAAAAGATGGTTTTAGGTCTGGTTGCGGTGGGTGTCATTGATATACGTGTTTTATACAATGGTTTTCCCCGGTTTTACTTAGTAATTTTATATGGTTTTGAGCTCTACGGAGCCATTTCTTGCTAACAATCTCTTCTTTAGTGTATTCGATTGTTTTAGTAAGCTTTTCAGGAATATGAAGCGTTTCTAGGCAATTGGACGTGTTTTTAGTAGATTCGGAAGAGTTGATAGCCAAGAACTGCAATTTATGTGGAGTGCCCGACCGGGCATGGCTTGCCCGGGCAGACCGGGCAATGAAGAGTTCACAGGAAGAAGCCCAATCCTGAACGGTGCAACGCGCGCCCGATCGGGCAGGCTTCGCCCGGTCAGACCGGGCGATGAAGAAGTCAAGTTATGAAGATGCAATTCTGGAAACGTGTTACGCGCGCCCGACCGGGCGAGGTTCGCCCGGTCTGACCGGGCAAAGAAGGAAAACTGTCGTATTTTACGCAGCCTTCCTCCGCCCGATCGGGCGAGGTTTGCCCGGTCTGACCGGGCGATGTTCAAGATTGCGCGATTTCAGCTATTTCCGAATTTCTATCTTTTGAGGGTATAAATACCCTTTTGTAATTAACTTTTAAAGAGAGTTTTTCATTAGTTTTTCTCCTTAAGCCCTAGAAAACTCTCAAGAACCCTAGTTTTATTTCCTTTAAGCAATTTCAATCTTTTAATCCCAGATTAATCAATTGTTCATCAACAATTTGAGTTCTTTCAATTGGAGTAATTGGTATTTATCTTACTTCACTCTTTTCTGATATTCACTGTTCTCTAAATATGTTTTCTTTACTGTTTCTTGTTTTTGAACTTGATTTTGATTTTATTATGATGTGTGAGTAGTTTCCTTAATCCGGGATCTTGCTAAGCTCGATTATGATTGATGTATAAAGTAGATCTTTAAATTCCCCAATAATAATCCCAATTGACATGCTTAATTGATTGTGTTTATGCCAATACTAGATTAGGAATAATTAGTATTGTTATCATCCCTTTGTTCTTATTGCAACGGAAGTTGGGTATTAACGGGATTAGGTTATTCCAATTAAGGGTTTGAAGATCATCACGGAAGTAGATGATTGAATAATTAGGAATCTAGGCATGGTGTTTAATGTCCCTTATTCGCTTGATTCCACGGAAGTAGGCTTGATAGTTAATTTGGGAAGCCATTGATAACTTGGAAGAGACCTTTGGTATTATTATTAGGGATTGCTTTTCTTCTTGTCAATTGATTTATATATTGGGGGTAGATTTATTAGTTTATCAATCATAATCGTGGTAATGCTTGATCTTGGATGCTTTAGTTTATTGATTAATATTTCCTCTAGTTAATTGTGTTATTTAATATATTAGTTGATTATTATCATCCATTATTGATTGGTGACGTGCTTAGTGATTAATTGAGTCTGATTAATTGAATGAACCATAGTCTCTTGGGATTCAATCCTTACTTGCCCTACTACACAGTTAGAAGGAATAGTTAGGTTATTTTTGTTAGGTACGCGATAAGCCTATCAAATTTTGGCGCCGTTGCCGGGGACTAACGGTTTCATATTGATTTTCCGTGATTCGTTTTTACTAAGCGTTGTTTGTTGCTTCGGCTATTGCCTCCTGTGTTTTTGATGTTCTTTGCCTAGTTCTTTGTTGTATGCAAACACGTCGCTCAGGGTCAGACGACTTAGTGCCTCTCGATTCAGAAATTGAAGCGACTGCAAGAAGACGAAGAAGTAGAAGAAGAGCAGGTAACAGAAATATGGAAGACCAAGCAACAAAGTCTCTTTTGGAGTACGGTATCCCTGACACAACAACCGGACTCCTTTCTAGCATTGTTAGACCACCTATCACCGCTCAGAATTTTGAATTGAAACCGCAGTTTATTCAATTCATATCCAATGATTCATTTGCTGGCACACCTCTTGATTGCCCAGTGAATCATATAGATGGTTTCTTGGAAAAGTGTGACACTATGAAGCTGAATGGTGTTACAGATGATGCTCTTAGACTTCGCCTTTTTCCATTCTCATTACGGGATAGGGCGAAGGAATGGTTAAGAGATGAGGGTTCTGGTTCCTTTGATACATGGGATAAACTAGTAAAAGCTTTTCTGGTCAAGTTCTTGGGACAAGAAAAGACTGCAAGATTAAGGAACGAGCTATCCACTTTCAGGCAATCAGATGAAGAATCCTTATATGACGCATGGAGGAGATTCAAGAGATTACAGAGACAGTGCCCTCATCATGGCATACCTGAATGGATGTTAATCCAAACCTTTTATAACGGTCTAACCCATGAATTCCGGATCTATATCGACGCCGCATCTGGAGGCTCCCTTTTAACTAAAAATCCAACCGAAGCAAAGGAGCTGGTTGAGAAGATGTCAGCCAATGACAACTATCACCCAGGCGGCCGAAATAGTGTCAAGAAAGGAGGTAAATTAGATGTTGATGCTCTAACTCTTTTAACTAGTTCTGTGCAGGCACTTTCAAGCAAGTTCGATAGATTACAAACTGGATCTTCTAATAATGTGCTAGAAACTTGTCAAATGTGTAATACTCAAGGTCACATCGCACCTAATTGCCCACGAAATTCGAATGAGGTATCAATTGAGGAAGCCAATGCCTTCTACAATTCCAACCCTAAAAGACCATACGATCCCCATTCTAATACTTATAATGAAGGTTGGAAGAATCACCCAAATTTCTCATACAAAAACACCCAGGCTCAGCAAAATCCACCTCCGCCCCCACCTCGAAACAACAATTATAATCCACCTGGTTTTCAACCAAGACCACCCCTAGTACAACAACCCATGCAACCTATGCAACCACTCCCTCAAAAATCCAATCTCGAACTAATGATGGAGAACTTCATCAACACCACAAATAATTCCATCCAACAGTTACAAGCCCAGAATAAGCTCATGGAAAATCAAATAAGCCAACTTGCTCATCAAGTCGGCCAATCTTCAAAAACACCAGGTACGTTTCCTGGCCAAACAGAGCAACCACAAAAGGGGCACATGAATGCTGTAATTTTAAGGAGTGGAAAACAGTTGGAAGACCTTCCCGTAAGGGAACCATCAACGATAGATATTGAGGGAATGAGTGAAAAACAGGGGATTTTGCAAAATTCTTCTTCGCCCGGTCAGACCGGGCAATGTCCGCCCGATCGGGCGCGAGAAGCAGTCGACGAAAAACAGGGGACTGTGCGAATTTCTTCTTCGCCCGGTCAGACCGGGCAAGGTCCGCCCGATCGGGCGCAAGAAGAAATTCCAGACAAACAGAAGAACATAAGCAGCTCTTCTTCGCCCGGTCAGACCGGGCAATCACTGCCCGACCGGGCGGGAGATCCAGACAGCCTAATTCCAAGGAATGATGTTCAAGAAAAGCCACGGGAACCGATCCCACCTCTCGCCCCATACATGCCAAGAGTCCCTTTCCCACAGAGGTTAGCCCAGGCTAAGTTAGAGAAAAAGTACGGTAAATTTCTAGACATCCTTAAGAAACTTCACATTAATATACCGTTCTTGGATGCAATTTCTGAAATGCCTTCTTATGCAAAGTTTTTGAAAGACATGCTATCTAACAAGAAGAAGCTTGCAGAGAATGCTACTGTTTCTCTAACTGCAGAATGTAGTGCCATTCTGCAAAACACTCTTCCTAAGAAACTAGGTGATCCAGGCAGCTATTCAATCCCAGTGAAGCTCGGAGATATAGAGATCAATAGAGCGCTATGCGATCTTGGTGCAAGTGTAAGCCTTATGCCGCTCTCCATCTGCGAAAAGCTTCAAATGGGTGAGCTAAAGCCTACAAGGATATCTCTGCAACTTGCAGACAGGTCAGTTAAATTTCCCCTCGGTATACTTGAAGATGTTCCATTGCGAGTTGGTAAATTCTTTATTCCATGTGATTTTGTTGTTATGGAAATGGAAGAAGATGCCCATGTCCCTATTATTCTTGGTAGACCATTCTTAGCTACTGCAGGTGCAATTATTGACATGAAGAATGGGAAAATAACATTTGAAGTAGGGGATGAGAAAATGGAGTATTCATTACTGAATGCTATGGGAAATCCGTCTATGGGTGAAACTATTTGTCAAGTGGATGTCCTCGATGATCTACAACAAGAACAACTTCCCCTGATCAAAAAGGAAGATGCTCTTGAAACGGTGTTGATAGGGAGTATCCATGATGAAGATTGGGAAGTAAGGGAGTACACGAGGCTACTAGAAGACGCAAAAGCTAATCCAATCATCGCTCCAGTCAAGGAAGTCCTTAGTACATCGAGTGTTGGGGAGAGTTCGACGCCTCCCGAGGTAGAGTTGAAACCCCTTCCATCTAATCTTAAATATGCATATCTTGGTCCTAAAAATACATACCCTGTTATTGTTAATGCTGAGCTTAATAACATTGAATTAGAGAAACTTCTCGCTGTTTTAAGAAAATATAGAAATGTTATTGGGTATACCATTGATGATATCAAGGGTATTAATCCCTCTTTTTGTATGCATAAGATCATTCTTGAGGACGATCATGCCTCCTCTAGAGAACCTCAAAGAAGGCTAAATCCAACTATGATGGAGGTAGTCAAGAAAGAGGTTCTCAAATTGCTTGCTGCAGGAATAATCTACCCTATCTCAGATAGTAAGTGGGTTAGTCCTGTACAAGTAGTACCAAAGAAAGGAGGTATGACAGTTGTCAAGAATGACAAAGGCGAGCCTGTTGCCACAAGAACTGTTACAGGGTGGCGGATGTGCATTGATTACAGAAAATTAAATAAAGCCACCCGTAAAGATCATTTCCCCTTGCCTTTCATTGATCAAATGCTCGAACGATTGGCTAACCATTCCTTTTTCTGTTACTTGGATGGATATTCCGGTTTTTTTCAAATCCCCATCCGCCCTTGTGATCAGGAAAAGACTACATTCACATGTCCATATGGCACCTTCGCATATCGCAGAATGCCATTCGGACTGTGTAATGCCCCAGCCACGTTCCAACGGTGTATGATGGCTATTTTCTCAGGTCTCATAGAAAATTCTATGGAAGTTTTTATGGATGATTTTTCTGTTTATGGTTCATCTTTCGATATTTGCCTTGATAATCTAACAAAGGTGCTCCATAGATGCCAGGATGTCAATCTGATATTGAACTGGGAGAAGTGCCATTTTATGGTACAACAGGGAATCGTTTTAGGCCATGTAGTTTCAAACAAAGGGATTGAGGTGGACAAAGCCAAAGTAGAGGTAATAGAGAAACTTCCCCCTCCAAATTCTGTGAAAGAAGGAGAGCAAGTCCTTCTATTCAATTCAAGGTTGAAACTATTTCCAGGGAAACTCAGGTCAAGATGGTCGGGCCCTTTCACGGTCTACAAAGCATATCCTTATGGCACCATTGAATTATGGAACAACACCGGGGGCACCTTCAAAGTCAATGGACAAAGGGTGAAGCACTATCGAGCGGGAGATCCTATTGAAGAAAAGTCAGATATCACATTCTCTTCCTCACCACAAACTCAATGAGGATGAATACGGTCAAGCTAATGACCTTCTAAACAAGCGCTTGCGGGAGGCAACCCGATTCTTTTTGAGGAGCCGTCGAGATTCCTATGCTCTCCTTACGCTGCAATGAGGCCATTGCCGCATTTAGCTTGGGGGAGTTGCTTCGTACATGTGGTACTCTCTCTCTCCTTATCTCTCTTATCTTTCTTGTTTTATTTTAGTGTAGTTATTTTAGTTGTTTTTTTTAAAAAAAAAAAAAAAAAAAAAAACATACAAAAAATACGATCCAATGAATAATAAATCATGCTTCCCTGTGCCCCATTCATGAAAATTGTTTTAACTCTTGGTATATGATGACGAGTATTGTGGATAGGTTAGCCATGATTTGATGTTTGATTACTTGGATGTCTTAACATGAGTCAATTTTGCCCAACTACTTGTAAATATAGTGCTTGACTAGTTGATTTGGTTAGGAATGTGTGTTAGTTCCTGGTATGTCAATGAAGTTGAGTATTGGTTTATAACTTTGAGTAATGTTTGCATGACTCATTAATATGCACATTGAGGAGGACGAAGGCATTTGTTCCTCTAGGTGGCTTTCAGACGATATTAGATACATTTGTTCCCTTCTTGCTACCCATGTTGTTGCTTGTGCCCTTTTATTGTTTATTTTGCCACATTACAAGCCTATTTAAGCCCCATTGGTTACTAGTCCCAAGCTTGGCTTGGGGGAGCTAATAGTGAGTGAGGTGAGGGAGTTGTAGTGTGCATGTAATCTGCACAATTTTGGGTGGATTTGAGAAGTTTTTATTTGTTCTTATTGTTGTGGATTGAAAAAATTGGAAATTTATTGTGCAAAGAAAAAATTCCAATGTGAGATGAAAAAAAAGGGAAAAGAAAGAGCAAAAGAAAAAATTGTTTCAATGTTCAAGTGTTCTAATTGAAGGCTGCTCAAGAAAAAAAAGGAGAGTTCAAAGTTTGTTTGTTCACTCAAGTTCTATAATTTTATATTTTGTATATATGAGTGAAATTTTAAGTGTTGGAAATTTTTAATATAATTGGATGTTTGGTGAATTTTTGGTAGAGTTGAGTTGTGTTGGAGATGATTTGGTCATTAATTCATTTTGATCTTGGTTTTATTTATTAGGATTTTGGCTCCCTTAAGCATAGCTTTACTCTTACATTTTCCCAAATATTTCCTACCTTTTATCCTAGCCTTACATTACAAGCTTTGAAGACCTTCTGACCTTTGTGCATAGAGTTGTGTGAATGTGAAATTAGTTGTTTTCCAATGCAAAGAATGATTTGATATATTTCGAGTCGACTGCTAGGTTGAGTGCTTGTTTTCTTTAAACACACGAGTGCGTGAGTTTGGGAGGGCATTGTTCACATTTAAAGGAGTTGGATGGAGAGCGATCGAGTATATCTTTTACTCGCCACATAAATGAGAGTTGAGTGTGTGAACACTAGTCTTGAATTCTATATGCTCTTGTGGTTTGCTCTATTTGACTATTGTCAGACAGGATGAGTAGTCAGATGGATTTGATTGGTTGACTTTGATGCATAACTGTCGAGTTTACCTTTAATCGTATTTATTGATTTGAATTGCTTTTGGGGTGAAGTATTGATTTATTTATTCATTGCTTTGCTTAGGGACAAGCAAAGGTTTAGCTTGGGGGAATTTGATATACGTGTTTTATACAATGGTTTTCCCCGGTTTTACTTAGTAATTTTATATGGTTTTGAGCTCTACGGAGCCATTTCTTGCTAACAATCTCTTCTTTAGTGTATTCGATTGTTTTAGTAAGCTTTTCAGGAATATGAAGCGTTTCTAGGCAATTGGACGTGTTTTTAGTAGATTCGGAAGAGTTGATAGCCAAGAACTGCAATTTATGTGGAGTGCCCGACCGGGCATGGCTTGCCCGGGCAGACCGGGCAATGAAGAGTTCACAGGAAGAAGCCCAATCCTGAACGGTGCAACGCGCGCCCGATCGGGCAGGCTTCGCCCGGTCAGACCGGGCGATGAAGAAGTCAAGTTATGAAGATGCAATTCTGGAAACGTGTTACGCGCGCCCGACCGGGCGAGGTTCGCCCGGTCTGACCGGGCAAAGAAGGAAAACTGTCGTATTTTACGCAGCCTTCCTCCGCCCGATCGGGCGAGGTTTGCCCGGTCTGACCGGGCGATGTTCAAGATTGCGCGATTTCAGCTATTTCCGAATTTCTATCTTTTGAGGGTATAAATACCCTTTTGTAATTAACTTTTAAAGAGAGTTTTTCATTAGTTTTTCTCCTTAAGCCCTAGAAAACTCTCAAGAACCCTAGTTTTATTTCCTTTAAGCAATTTCAATCTTTTAATCCCAGATTAATCAATTGTTCATCAACAATTTGAGTTCTTTCAATTGGAGTAATTGGTATTTATCTTACTTCACTCTTTTCTGATATTCACTGTTCTCTAAATATGTTTTCTTTACTGTTTCTTGTTTTTGAACTTGATTTTGATTTTATTATGATGTGTGAGTAGTTTCCTTAATCCGGGATCTTGCTAAGCTCGATTATGATTGATGTATAAAGTAGATCTTTAAATTCCCCAATAATAATCCCAATTGACATGCTTAATTGATTGTGTTTATGCCAATACTAGATTAGGAATAATTAGTATTGTTATCATCCCTTTGTTCTTATTGCAACGGAAGTTGGGTATTAACGGGATTAGGTTATTCCAATTAAGGGTTTGAAGATCATCACGGAAGTAGATGATTGAATAATTAGGAATCTAGGCATGGTGTTTAATGTCCCTTATTCGCTTGATTCCACGGAAGTAGGCTTGATAGTTAATTTGGGAAGCCATTGATAACTTGGAAGAGACCTTTGGTATTATTATTAGGGATTGCTTTTCTTCTTGTCAATTGATTTATATATTGGGGGTAGATTTATTAGTTTATCAATCATAATCGTGGTAATGCTTGATCTTGGATGCTTTAGTTTATTGATTAATATTTCCTCTAGTTAATTGTGTTATTTAATATATTAGTTGATTATTATCATCCATTATTGATTGGTGACGTGCTTAGTGATTAATTGAGTCTGATTAATTGAATGAACCATAGTCTCTTGGGATTCGATCCTTACTTGCCCTACTACACAGTTAGAAGGAATAGTTAGGTTATTTTTGTTAGGTACGCGATAAGCCTATCAGTCATGTGTTTCTGCTGGTAAGTTTCTGCTTAAATTAGTTCTGATTTATGTGGGTTGGTGATTATTTAACTGATTGATTGTGTGTGTATATATATGGTTCAGATTTACTACCTGGATCACCTGCAACGCGCTCTAGTGCAGTAGGGTGTCTATCCAAGGATCAAGGTGTGGATATCAGAAGAAATTCGCGCCGCTGTTGCTGAGGATCGATTGACAAGGGATAATTATGGAAAGTTGATGGTAAGGCGTGTTATAGTGTACAGCTCTTTGAGTTTATGAATGTTGTTACTGAATACACTGTTGTGCAGCCTATAGATATAGCATACAATGGGGAGCCGCATCCCATGATCCCAAGGGAAGATGAAGGCTCTGAACAAGATGATGTTGTGGACAAGGTACATTTAATTTTGTCGATATAATCCTTGGTTGGTGGATATGAAACATGCCAGTAACAAGTTATGTATGGTGTCCATAAATTTGTGTGTTAGGTTTTGACACGGCTCGCTCCTAGACTGATTACCCTTGTAGAGGGCATTGTCGGGAAAGCCATGGGAGCTTTTGGTGGTGGTGGTGGTGGTGGAGGTGGGTCATATGTGAGTGATGGTGCTGGTGGTAACAGAAACAATGAGGCGAACACCGCAACAAACGGCAGCCTTATTAAGGGTCTACCGAAGGACGTTTTGATAGTTGCTCCAGAGGATCAGCCGAACGATGGTGATGTTAATAAAAAAGGCGGTGAAGAGGACTTGGTTCCGAAGTCGAAAGTTGTAGATGGTGTTGAGTGTAGTCGACAAACTCCTTTTGACAAAGCTTTGTTGGCTTTTGTCAGGGCTTGGAAGGAGGCTAAGGATGAAAATTAGTAAGCAAGCTTACCCCAAAAAAAGCAGTGATATTAAATTTAGTGTAGATAACATTGTATTTTATTGTTGTTGTTGTTTGTTTGTAGCCCTGGGCCGACAATTATTGAGTGCGATGGTATGGATGCTACTCAAAGAGATTGTTATCGGCTTATTGGGGGGAGAGCGCGGCTTGGTGATCAGTATGTCCGCATGGCCTCTGTGCTTTACACAAAGGAATGGAGTGAAACATAATTCCCGTTGTCTGGCAAGCGAATTCTATTGGACCCTACTTATGCAGTATATCAACAACATATATGTTATTTGCTTATTTATTAAGGGTTTTTAACATCTAGTTGTTGTTGCAATTCAATTTTTAATTGTTTTCCCAGACAAGGCTAATGCAAAAGAAAAAAGATTATGCGGATTCGGCAAAGATCCATGGGAAGGCCTTCTGTTCACATGACCTGGACGATATACGCGTTGTGAGGTTCCTCACCTGTTCTTGTGTAATTTAATTATTGCGTTCATGTTTCACTGAGTTTGAGCTTATTGTAGGTATTCATGCCGGTACTTGATTTGTCTGTAAAGGATGGTGACCATTGGTGGTGCTTAGCAGTAGATTTTGTGGAGAAGCAAATTTGGATAATTGATTCTCTTGTGAAAGAACCCTTTGAAGCTCATGCAGACATAGTTACGGAGTTGGTTAGTCTCTCTAACACAATTACAGGGTTCATGTTGAAATTCTGGCATTTGATTTGGTGGTGCTCTATTAATATACAGGTTCAGGACCTGGATGTGCTTGCTGGTTCAAATCGGCAATGGGTCCTTGATCAGATGTGCAATTGTCCACATAGAGTAATGGAAATGCCCCAGCAAACGGACACGTGAGTATTACCTTTGTTTACATCTGTTTTTGTAATGGAACATGCAAGTTTGCTTTGATTCTAACCTTTGTCCAAATCTGTGTTTTTTTGCGTAGTTACTCTTGTGGTGTGCTTATGCTGTCATGCATCAAACATTGCGCTGTAACTTTTTATACTCCTCATGTACTGGTAAGAAGTTGCGTTTTGTCAAGTGACTTAAAGTGTAGGGCTGTTTCCTTATTATACGCTGTTTAATTTCAATGCCAGGAGAAGTCTATCAATATACGGACCAAGATTTTTCTCGAAGATTTGCATAGCAAGTTCAATGCCATGAAGGTGAACCTGAAGGGTCTAATTAATGAAGATCGAAGAGGAGCAGGGAAGAGGAATGGGTCAGTAACAACAACTCAGTAGAAGACTTAGTTGTTTCTAGTAGACAATGTTTCAAGGTTGAATTTTCAGAGTCTTGATACTTATGTTTTAATTGACTATTAAGATGTGGGCCTTGTTAAGATATATTTTGTTCCTTATTATATTAGGGCCTTGATGGCTCATTTAGAATTTGGGTTTGGATTTGAAGACATGCCTTTTTGAAAATGGGTCCTAGATATTAATGTGGCATTTTCTGAAAATGGTCCTGTTTTAATATGGCCCTGTATGAAAATGGTCCTTTTTTAATATGGCCCTTTTTTTTAATATGGATCTGGATTTTATTTTGCCTTTTTCATATTTAGTATTTTGTTAAGTAATTCAAATGGGATACATAATTTGCCAAACATAAAGAGCTTAACTCATTACAATTTTTGTGCGTGTTTGGATAATGAACATATAGAGCTTAAACGTTTATTATGATAACCAAATTTATTAAAATTAACAACGACATAACAACAAAGTTTTTAAGTAGACGCACACAGTCAAAACGTTACCACATTCAAACATAAACATATAAAGGTAGAACTAGAAGACAGTGCAAGCTTCATCGACAACTTTCAAGCTAACCATTCGGCGCTGCTATCGCTACTCCACCCAAAACCAGCAGCACTTGACGAACCCTCCTTGATCTCATACAAGTGCTTTGCATGCTCTATACGTTGGACGTAAGCTGGTGGGTAGTCTTCGTATGTGAAAGGTTCAGCAATTACAGGGGAAGGTTATCCATTTCGTTGTACCCATTTTCAGCCAGCATCTTACTTCTGAATTTCATTCTTTCTTCACTATCGTTGTTGATCAGCTCTATTGGGTCCTCAACTGAGAAGTTAAGCCATTCTAGTGTTATCTCCATCTTCACTTTATCTGGCTTAATTAGGCATTCGGCAGCAGTGAATCGCCTACCAAGCAGGGCCAAGCCATATTGCTCTCCATTTTGGCAGTTGTACCTGATTGCGTCCTCCACATTGTAGTACCAGTCTTCTATGTGGTCATCAAACAACTCCAAAAACCACCTCAAATATTTGGTGTACTCTGGGTACGCCATACAATCCATGATGGCTTTCAAGAGTCTCCGTAAGTGGAAGATAACAGCAATTTTAGCAACATCTACCAAATAAAACATGAAACAATACGCTTCTTTGCGAAAATGTCTTGCCATACCAATTTGAAACATTGATAAGAAAGGGTAATCAGGATGAAAGTCAATACCTTTCACTGCATCAACTACACCCCCTCTAGCAATAGTAGCCAATTGATGACTGAACATCATATCTCTGCTCGTCTTAGGCATGTGGAAGTTCCTTATAACAGAATTCACGTCATGATTTCCATTGTCTTTGAGTTTCTTCACAACTCTTAAGAGCCTTTTCCGCTTCCTCTCTTGCTTTGCTTTCCTTGTAAGTGAGTTTATACTATATTAAAAATGGAAGTGAGTTTATACTATATTAAAAATAAGTGATTTCATGACGTGAGTTTATACTATATTAAAAATAAGTGATTAAAAATAAGTGAGTTTATACTATATTAAAAATAAGTGATTTCCATTGTCTTTGAGTTTCTTCACAACTCTTAAACCCTAAACCAGCAACAACAAAACAAAAATGGAAGTGAGTTTATACTATATTAAAAATAAGTGATTTCCTTGTACAAAACAATTATTGGGAAGGGAATATGATTTCTTCACCTTTGTTTCCCATTGATCACTGTCTCTAAGGGAATTTTGTGTTTTTTTTTTGGGTTTATGAAAATAACAATTTAAAATCTAGAATTTGGGAGGTGGTGTGATTTCATATCACCATACTACAAAAAAGACAAAAATTGAGGGCAATGGTACAACAAGATAGAGGGATATCTGTTTGCAGAGAGGGGTGGTGCCTTGAGCCAAACGCTAGCACATTTAGGGTGTACTATCCTTCCTTCTCCCTATTGGGTTTTCCTTATTTTTGTAAAGTAGTAGGTATTAACCTGTCAATTGTTCAAAACGTAGCATAGCTGAACTCTGACCACACTCAACTGCAGCAGGCTTTTCACAGTAGTAGGTGATGGGTAGCGGGCCTTTTCTCTTCAAAATTTTACCCGGAATTTGCAAAGTTTATAAAATAGAGTTTTGTAAATTTAACCATCCCCTTGTCTAATATATTACCCTCTCACTCTCCTCAGTTGTCTCTCCATTTTAACCAGAACAACAATCTATCTCAATAAGCAAATTTTCAGCATTACTGGTAAGGAAATGCATCTCCACCCTACTGAACCCGTGCTTTATTTCTCTCCCTTCAATCCATCAAAAACCCCAGAGCTTGATTTCAACTCCATTGAGTACTTTGCTAACCACATGGACTACTATCAAATGGCCCCTCCCTTACCCACCACTGAACTTCGTGAACAGCTTATAAACTCTCTTGACTACAAAACCATGACCTTCATCCCTAGAAATGTCATGGAAGTAGGCGATAATGACTGTCAACCAGCCTATTACCCTCTCCTTTCTGATCTGGATGGCTATCTGCACAAAGGGGTAGCTGCCTTTGCTAAGTGGTTCTGTGAGGACACAAAGACAGATGAATGTCCTTTGGTTCTAGAGGAGCTCATTCCTATCTTCGACATGAAGCCAAAAATCAACCCTGCATCCCTACCAATCTACACCTTACCTGTTAGAGAAAGACACATTTTCTTTTGGGAGAATTCTGCTGACATTCATGTCATGGAGGTGAAAGGTACTGTAAAGCTACTGGAGGTGAATGTGTTTAGCTGCATAACTCCTGTCCACAAGGTGAAGTACCACCGCGTTTCTATTTGTGGTAATCCCCACCACGATGTTCCTGGATCTGGTAGCTTTCCAATTGGCTCTGCTATTATTGTTTGGAATGCTAGAAACATCAACCGACCATTATTCAATGAGACATTCGAAAAAATCTTCTATGCTTTCTCCCCAGAAGTGGTGATAATTACTGAGGCAAGAGCTGATCAAACAATGCTCCACTACATCACTGAAAAACTCAATGGAGTGTACAGTGTAGATGCTTATTGTACTGTTAATGGATTCAGTCGTGTTCTGCTAATTTGGGCCAAGAGAGATGCGTACCCATGGACTCTCAAGCGGGGTAAAAGCTATTTCGGCCACCAGATGGGTGTGTCCATTGAGGTAATTTCTAACGTTATTGTTGTATATTTAAAATTAATATATTTTGTGTGTTTTTGGTTATTTTTCTTTTCATTTTTTAAAGCAATTTGTTGTTAGAGGTTCACTACTAAATCAGTGGTTCAATTTTTGTGATGTCTTTACTCAATCCGTGGTTGAATTTTTTTGATGTTAGTGGCTCACTTTTCTCAATCAAAGGTTCAATTTTTGTGATGGTAGTGGTTCATTTTAATCAATCAATGGTTCAATTTTTGTGTCGTTAGTGGTTCAATTTACTCAACCAATGGTTCAATTTATGTGTTGTAAATGATTCAATTAACTAAATTAGGGGTCTAATTTTAATGGTTTGTTGTTATTGAGTCAATTTTTATGATGTTAGTAATTTGTGACAATTTTTGATTTATTGAATGAATGTTTTGTATCAGTTAATATTAACTAGTTGAACTCATACGATGCCTTGAATCATGGTGTTAAATTGAGGTGTGAGGAGGCGAAACTTGATTCTTTTACTCCTGCTAATTAATTGAGGAGACTTCAATTTGATGATGTTAGTGGTTAGATTGAATCATTCTATCATGTCATATGTTATATTGGTTGATCAAATTAGATATGTAAACTAATTCTTGGTATAATAAGTTTATACGTAAAAATGGTTCAAATTGGTCAAAGAACATGTTTTCAAGAAATATCTCTAATCAATGGTATATTAATGTCCTTAAGTAATACTACATCCTAGCGCAGTGGTACGTTTAAAGTAGTGTGGCTTCAGTTTTAATTGTAGAAATACGACAACTTGTGTGTCACACTTACTTTTATTTGTTACGTTTGATTCTTGATTAAAAGTCATAGTAATTAATTGAATCGGTTGTTTTATGTGACTATTTTCACAGCCCGGCTATAGGTTTCGTCAGTGGAAAAACGAGGATGACTATCCAGATGCATAAGGTGTAGTAGAGAGTTCTTGATCTTCGTTTTTGGAGGATGGTGTCGCTCCGGGTTGATATGTGAACCTCTTTTGGAAATGCTTATATTTGTTGTGTGAGCGGTTATATGCACCGAACTCTTTGTGTTTTGAGACAAGTATCTTGTTGGATTACTTTTGTATTAAACAATGTTAAAATGTTTCAGGAAGCCCCCTTTAGCTGTGGGTTACTTTATTTGTGAAATTTCAATTTGAACTACTAAAGTTGATATGTGGTTCTTGTGTCCCAAATTAAAGGGATATCCAAATTAACATGAAACAACGCAAAGAGAATGTCGCATATTGCAATATGTGACGACAAGTAGATAAACGAATGTAGAAACTAACTTAAACATTAATTAAGACTCAAATAGAATCTTCTAATCAAACTACAAATTTTACCACTATATTTGCCATTTATTTCTTTCTAATGCAAATTATGTAACACAGCTTTAATTAATAGTCTAGGAAATGAAAATTCTGAGTATATTTGTCATTAACTCCCTATTATTTAGAATACCAATGTTGAACAATAATAAATTAAAAAGGAATTAAACATAATTGTAAAATAAAAAGATTAAAAAACCAAATAGTGAAGGTAACCAACCCTTAACAAAAAATTTCACAATTAACACTTAGAGAAATAAACTTAGAGAAAAAAAAAGGATTTTGAAAAGTCATCATTACTAATTGCATTGATTCGCGCAGAACTTCGTTTACTGCACCAAAACATCTTACTTCACTTACATCACAATTAATACATAAACCCATTTTTTCATCTATAATTTCAGATTTCAAACCCTTTGAAAGGTTGTTCAGTTCCATTGGTCTCCCAATTTCTCCAAAATTAAAGCTTTTAATTTCTTAACAAAAATGGCAAGCAACAACAAAAACAAAAACATTTCTTTGCCTTCAGAGGACGAACAAAGTTACCTACAGAGAAGGATGGAGTATCTAGAAGCAGAATTGAAATGGATGGACAGTCGTCGTGCTGAGAAGGAAAGCCAACTACAAGAAATGCAAAGTCGACTTCAGGAGTGCATACAGAGAAAGAGGAAGTTGGAAATCCCCAAGGGAGTTGCTGAGTGTT